TAACATCAAAAACAACGACAACGACAACGAAGATCTGTACCAACCTCGCGTCAGCTTAAGAAGATCAGTTTATATGATCACATAAATAAATATATCAACTATTTATGCCGAAGTTCATAGAAAGTCGGTCTTTCGAGTTATTGAAAGATAAGTGACTCTTGCAAAGACCTTCCAACGATTGTCGATGGATCCCACATTAGTTTCAGAAATAAAGATCAGACGTACTCACATAAGGAAATATTTAGATGGTCTAGCTTGCCGTCTCAGATCAGATCAGGTGTTCTATCGGCTTCTTAACACATTGTTCACAAATTGGTTTCTTTAGCATCTTCTTTTCCAGCACTGGTGGATTCGAAAGCAATTTCAGACCTGGAATTCTGATTCGAGAGCTTTGAAGCTTCTAGGCAAGCGCGGAGAACAGAATCTGGAGTTTATTTCTCAGATAATGGCAAGCTAATTTTTTGCCGGGTAGGTTTTCAGTCAACTTAAGAAGCCGATAGAAGATGACAGCTGTGCTGTTTGCCTGTTGTTTAATTCATTAGTCAAGTAGTTGATCCTCTTAACTCGTCGCGATATTTTCTGCTTTACTGCTTGCACTTTTCTTTCTGTTCCCGATTCTCCTTGCAAATGTTCAAGTGGCTCAGAGTAGTTTTTCAAGAGAATACCTGACAAAATGGACTGCTTCGGATTCTCGTTCTTCTAGAAGAATCGTCACTACGGCAGTGGCTGTCGCGTAGTTGTTAGCCGCCTGTGGCTGCAGTCGGCTAATGTTCTAGTATTCACCGAGTCTCCTTGGCTACTGTGTTTCACAGCATGGGATTGATTCGCACAACTAGAACCTAAGGGACAAAATTGAAATTAGAACTTTGTATATCAAAGTTGCCTTAATAGAGTAAATGTGAAATTGAATGTGATTATTAGACAACAAGTTACGTGTCTTATTTGCTCCTTCTGTTGTGGTCGATACTAAATGGACGCACATCGCTCCTTGAAACTTTTGGGTTTTGGAGTTATGCTTAATTTGGGTAAAGGAACTTTTCTCACTAGTTTTTTAAAACTTTTTTTGTTGGTCACATTCAGTGTGTGCTGTTCTATTGTTCTATTCAGCAGTTGCTCAACAGAAGACTGAAGAAGAGTTTAATTTTTTTCCGGCTTTTTAGGTATAGAACGGATGCTATGATATTACTGTAGCTTGTAATTCTATTAACCACTGAGTGAGTCGAGAAGGCACTAAAACGAGCTATTCGTCTTCGAGGGACACAAAAAGCATCGCGCTTTTTTTTTATAAGACCCCTCATCCATACTGTTTCAGACAACAGAATAAACGCGGATGGCTCAGAATTCGTTACAGCCTTCAAGATCAACTAAAACTATACATGTCCTTTATTAGCTGCTACAACTCAGTATCGCCTCCCATGTATTGCTCTCCGATATGTAACTGCAAGGATTTTCCCGGATCGGTGTGCTTCTGCGTACACATAAGCATAGCCTACCCACGTGTGCATGAAAGGAGTTCGGCACTTTGATAAACGATAAAGAATTTAGCACTTGAAGAGGTCTATGTGACGCGCTGCGCGTTAGACTCCATTCGTTGGATCGTGGGGGTGAATTGCATCTCTGGCCTATACGAGGACTTACGATTGCCTACCGATCTATTAGGTGAGTACTGCAACCCATCCAAACAAATCTAATGGCAATTTTCCGACCCCGATGGGATGAGAGTTTGGCTTGCACAAGGTGAGCTATAGAACCAACAACAACATCTGCGTTACAGAGTATATATAACCATTGCATTATTCTATAGATATGAACTATTCATGATCAGTAGAGACAGGGAATCCATTCCTCTCACGGCAAGTACAAGTTCGTTTTTGTTCCATCTTTAATCCCGATCCGCTCTTTAATCCGGATCAATGTAAGAGGCTATATCGGACATTTTTCGCTATTGGAAATAAAATGATCTAATTTCCATTCATCACTCGGTAAACGGCGTTTCTCAGCAACTCATAAGAAGTTTCAAAAATCATATGGAATGGTGCGAAAGGTAACACAGGGAAAATGGGCATTGTTTCTAGGAAAACTGTAGCCAAACTGGTTGATAGTTATCCCTTTCATGCCGATGATCACTTTATATTTCTACCAATAATTTCTTGATAATTAGGAACTTGTGGACTGGATTACTTGACAAGCTTATAGAAGACAATTTGCACCATCGTGCAAATGGTAACTACGGTTCTTCGGAAGTGTGATTTTACTTTTGAAGTCGTTTAGAATTAAACCAGCCTAAAAATGGAGAAAAAATTTAAATTTTTGAAACTTCCAAGCCTTTCTTGATACTCATTGGTAACAAGGTGAGCCATCGGCATTTTAAGCACTCTTGTTTTTTTCCCTTCACCAAAAGTGGAAATTAGTTTAAAATGTGATAATGGTATGGAACTAGGAAGTGTACTTATAAGATTTTGTACTGTTGCTAAGGTGAAATTTCTTGTCTGGAAATTTTGGTGGATCTCGCATCGCCGTGAACTTGGAGAGTTCATATTGACATTCATTCTATTCCGTCTATGATTTGCTCATCCTATAAAAAACTTACTGCCAATGGCTTCAATGACATTGAATGCAGATTTCTCATAAACCACATATCATAATCGCTGCTTCGTAAGTGAAATTTAATCATGCGAAGCTGGAATGGAACACCAATCTGAGTCAATCCATATCCATATCTTATCAAAATCATTCGCTCCTTTAGTATGCTCTAGGAATTTCAGCGTTAAAATCATCGCGGCTTCTGAGAACCATTATTTTTGGCTGCTCTCTTATGATTGTACCATTTAGATACTCTAGGTGTTTATCGTTATGTTCTTGTATCCGATGCGAGCACTAAATGGATTTCTCTTTCCTACTCTCCTTTCCTCGTTTAAGTCATTCTCGTTAGTGGGCAGGTGACATAGTGGTAGTGATGCCGATACCGATGATTACGAGCGCGGTGCACGTTCCAGCCCACCTCGAGTTCACGAGGCTCCTCATCTCTCCGGTGTCGGAAATGGTACCAGATTTGTCTGAGCCCAACTGCTTCCTCAAATTCACGTAGGAACAATCTAGCATATCTATTCTTTTTGTTATTTGAGGGAGTTATTTGCAAAACTCCGAACCGCAGGTGTCTGCGGTGGGGAACGAACGCGCTACTGTCCTTTCCGGGGTGTAACGCATTGACCAGCACACCATGCGAGTCCTTCGTTTCGCCTGTCTCTCAGCTAGTTTTATCAACTTTTTGCCGTCAACAATCACCCGTCAGCGGAATTGATCTGGGGAAACGAAGGATCCGCATGGTGTGGTGGCGAACGCGTTACTCCCCGGAAAGAACAATAACGCGTTCGTTCCCCACCACAGACACCTGTGGTTCGGAGTTTTGCAAATATCTCAGCATCATTGAAGTTATATTTTGCAATATACCCTGCCGTTAAAAAAAGAGCAGGCAGTAAGTAATAAGTTAAAGCTCGAGGGAGTATCAACCCGAGCGGCATGCAACGACATCCGTGAAGAAGACAACAATCGCCAAGCAGCAGCCGAACCCACACGTGAAACATTTCAAAAACTGACTTTCCTTTAATCTCAGCATGACTAATCAATATGCATTCTTTCATTGAGAAACTAACACGAGATAGATAACAAGGTTTATTCGGCTAACGTCACATGTGAAATATTCAGAGACGCTCGTGGATGATGGATGCTTGAAATGCAAAAATGGAATGCAAAAATGCTGGGATAAACACAGTTGTTATGAAGATGGGTCATATAAAATAAAAAGAGCTATTTTCATTTGGCGCCAAGCCCTAGTAACAAATGCATGTCTAAGTAAAGAAGTTTGCTTTTCAATTTCCGATCAGCGCTCTACCGTCAATACATCATTGATGGCACCTTAATAAGCTCCATTTACCGAGAGATACATAGGTGTACGAAATCATTGAATCAATGAATATAGTGTCTAAAACAAGTTGAAGAGCGGACGGAACAAACAGGTCTTTTCTTCCTTGGACGCTTATTATACCTTTCCAAAACAACCACATAAGAAGGCAGCATCATAAATCACTTAATAACGGCGTAATAGAAAGGACTTCTGGCCAGCACATGTTTCAAATGAATGCAAATACACGCACGAGAAAAGGGAAGGAAATCACTCAAATTAACGAGACAAATAACCATATAAAGTGTTAACTCTTTTATTTACTACCTACTACAATTTTTACGGCAGGGTATTATGCGAAATCAACCAAAATGATGCTGAGATATTTTCAAAGCTCCGAATGGCAGGTGTCTGCGGTGGGGATCGAACACGCTATTACCCTTTTCTGGGTCTAACGCGTTCTATGGCCTTAACTTAACTGGGTTCAATGCTGATTTGTGTTTCCGAGATCAATCCCGTTGACGCGTGAGTAGTAGAAAGAAAACTAGAAAGAAAGGCGAAATGTCACTGTTTTATATTGGCGCGTAAACGACGGAGATTGTCAAAGGGCGCCCATGGTGTGGTGGTGAACGCGTTAGCCCCTGGAAAGGGTAATAACGTGTTAATCTCCACCACAGACACCTGTCCTGTTTCTGGAGAGACACGTCTTTTGGTGACTTTCGAACTCAAAGCTTTCATAACGCTAAAGTAAGATGTTGAAAGAGCCGATAGCATTCCTCGTCGATATGATCAATAACGACATCGCCCAACAACAGACTAACGAACTAATGAACTGAACAAATGCCAATTTATGGTTTTTCGGAGCTTCGTTCTTAAAACCTAGCGGAATTCCCTTCCTTCTACGAGATCTGTAATCTTGCACAAACGGGTTAAAGGTTGCAGCCAGTGCTGAATTTTGGTACAGCAGCGACATTGTTTAGGGAAAACCTTCGATTTCCTGTTATGTTGAATATTCCCTTTTGGTACTCTTCATTTGGAAATTTCCAAACCTAGCATTGAGAGCGGAACTCGGACGGCCGCTCACTCTGCTCGATTAGTTCTAATCCGTAGGTCTTGGTGCACTGTTCTCCAAACGTCCTTCTGGTCCATTCTTATAGTTAAAATCTCCATTGATGACCTTAAAAAATCTGTGCTCTTCTCTGCAGAACTTCTCCGATTTTTTATAGAATACTTCGACTTCTTCTTCGTCACTGTTTGATATTGGCGCGTAAACGACGGAGATTGTCAAAGCCGGTATTGATCCACATCTCTTCAACCGTAAACTTCCGATTCCCGCTTTTAGTTGTTGGAATGAATCGATGTTCATGGCCACAGTCGAGCTGACAAGAACGCCGATACCGCCTACTCTACTGTTTCATGTCCTGAGGAACAGTTCTTCTCCGATGTCATAATCGCGACGTCGTACCTTATCGTTCTTGCTTGCTTGCATCTCAACTCTGCAGAACTAAAGTGATTAAAAACCTTTTTATTTTATTTTATATGACCCATCTTCACGTCTGCTGTGCGGATCCCAGAACTTCTCACATTCAATTCGTTTTCTCGCATCCATTATCCACGAAGGTCTTCCAACTTTTACATGTGGCTTCGGTTGCTGCTTGAAGATTTTCATTTCGTTTTGAATGTCGTAGAATGCTGGTCAAGCAATTCTCCCTGGAGTCCTGCGATAGCCGGGCTGGAGCGTTCCCAGTTGGGTTGCAGAGAGTGATTTTTCTTCCCAGACAAATACAGTATCAATTTCCCACCCCAGAAGAGATGAGAGGCTTGGTCGGCCTGGAGCGGAATCGAACTAGCACCGTACTCGTGAAGACGGACATCGCTACCACTGTGCTATCGGCATCTTTGAGTGGTTGAAAAGTTATCAACAATTATCGAAAACTAGTCATGTGTAGCGCAGTGGGTAAGGATGCCCTACAGTACATAATGGATCGATCCAGCCCCTTAGCGCCACGAAGCCCTCCATTCCTTCGGGGTCGCAAGTTAGTACTTCTTTGGGAGGATAGCAGCAATCACTTCTACGATGCTTGATGAAATTGAATGCATAGCTGATGATTAACGACTCTCTGAGCGGTAATGCACCACCGTTTGTTTAAACTCGAAAGACAAACCCCGTTTTCTCGAACGGCGCTCATCAAAACCACAATATTAAAAGTTGTTAAATATTTATAACTATAGATGCTCGGGAGGCAGTCATTTTATCTGAATGGAGCGTCGCCGTTGTAGACGGATACAGGAAAATTGCTTAGATGCGCACTAATCCCTTAGTCTCTTGGTATTTTAGATTCTCGCGAGAACATATGCCTGAATGAGATGAACGTGGTGTAAGCAGAACGAGAATACTATCAACCTCATTCAATGTTTCACTAAAAGGAAACTTGCAAGGCGATTGTAACTAGCAACTTAAGGGTGGCGATGGTCAATTTTCGAGCGGCTACCTTATGCAGCGAAGTGCAGGGGATAATGAACGCCATCCAATTCATAACTTCAGAGGGTTTGAAGAGCAGTAGTGACGTTAAATGTAATATTTAGTCATGTCGCCTCGTTGAACAAAAAGGCCAGTCAGGAAATCAGCAGGTCTCCTCTAACATGATAATCAATCATGTCTCTTCACGAAGTACTCAAAGCTTCCCGTGTTCCTCGAGCAAAGAACGTCGCCAGGAATCCATTCATCTGACAGGGATGTACTGAGACACAAAGGCACTACCAAGTGCACATCGAGGCCATGAGGGGGTGAAAAAGGTCAAAATAATTCATTTTGTTCCCTTCTTCTTAAGCAATTTGCGGTCACGACATTCTCACACCTTTCCTATGTTTTTGAAATCAGCAATCAAATATAATTATTGTATCGAGATGATCAATAACATCAAAAACAACGACAACGACAGCGAAGACCTGTACCAACCTCGCGTCAGCTTAAGAAGATCGGTTTATAAGATCACATAAATGAATATATCAGCTATCTATGCCGAGGTCTATAGAAAGTCGGTCTTTCGAGTTATTAAGAGATGTTCCAGCAAAACATTTCGGACGCGTAAGAGACGCATTGTCATTAAGACAGAAAATCGTCTTAATGCGACAAAAGACCCACTTTCTACGCCGCTGGTTGAAACACCGAATTACTCCTAACTTTACAAAGCGTAGGAAATTATACGAAGTATGCGGCTTGCCAGAGAGCTCTCAACAAATGCTCAGCATCGAATTAAAACTGCTACGCATTTCATTGCGGTGCACACAAAACGAAATGTTTTCACTGTTAAACAAATGTGTGCATAAAGAAGACCATTGTGCTCAGCATTTGGAGAGAAATCCTTGGAAGAGAACAGTAGCTGGGTCTAAATCGGTACGCGGAAAGATTCGATGTGATATTAAAAGCAAGTTAAGGAAAGATTTTGAAGACCTATCACGCCGCTCAAAATGGTCAAATCAAAGGACCACCGCTAGTCAAGTTCCAAGTAGAAACCCTGAAATAGACTGCGCACCAAGAACATCCAGAGTTACTGTGCTAGAAGGCATAATGCTTCCGGAAAGTTCTTCCTTGTCGGAATTCGGCCCGAGTTTCGCGCCTAGTCAACCCATTTCTAAACTAATTCTGCGCAGGACCACGTGTAGTCTACATGAACTTCAAGATCAGCTACGTTACAGGGTTAGGCTAGAAAGGTTAGGTAAAGTAGTACCAAGATGGGAACTCCCACCGATACCTTTCCCCCGGACTTTCTTTAAAGAAGAGCTACCAAATAGCGATATTGACCATATATTTCACTTATTTCGGACGAAATTCTCCGCATACTTAATCACTACCAAAAACGAAAAAGAAGCTCCAACCTCACATACCAACAAAAATCTGGTATGCGCCAGATTAGAGAGCCCTTGAATTCAGAATCTGTTAAACTTTCTATTAGTGATAAAGGTGGAGAATTAGAAGTTATTCCTAGTCAGTTGGATATTAGAATAACAGAGGAGCACCTCAATGATGTTTCTCTCTATCGAACACGCTCTAAAAAGGAACATAGAAATCAATATCGAGAATTAAATGGTGGGATGGTGCAGTCGTCAACCACATGCGACTATAATCAGCTGTTCTAAACTTCCTCATTGGAAATCACGAAAAAGCGGCTCTGAAGAAGGCGATACTGCTGAAACGTCAGCTAGCGTTGTATTGTATTGTGTTTTTATGGAAGTAAATGTATGCCGTTTAAAAACCTCGCGATTGCTGAACAAGAAAACGACACATTCATATTCCATTGCCGAGGTTAAGAGAAAGTCGATCCTGGGAACCGAAAATTAAATCAAGAATGGGTCAGCACGGCAAAGGCCGCGGGATTAGAGCCTTCAGTTATTCCTCGACTTAAAAACGAACATCCAATTTGCCCTGTCCTTTCTAGCTTATTGAAACACATAAGCTTACTTCAACTGATAATATTACATCAACGAACCCATCATCATTTAAAGTTAGATCTATCATCAGTTGTATAGGCGGGCCAACGGATAGAATAACGTGGTTCCTAAACCTTATCCTAACCCAGCTGCTAAAATTCCTTCCAACCCATCTACCTAACACCAAAATATTTCTGGAAAACCTAAGGCGCGCGCAACCAAACAGCGCGCATGTAATGGAGTCATTCGATGTTACGTCACTTTATACCAACGTGTCCAATGACTCCGCAATGCAAGCCATTCTCGAGTTGCTCGTAGAGCATGAAAAGAAAATAAAAATGCACGGCTTGTCGATTGCGCAACTAATGACCCTCTCAAAACAGTGTCTTAGTTGTTCAATCTTCAGGCGGTCTGGAAAACATTTTGCACAAATTAGAGGCTTGGCGATGGGGCAGCGTTTAGCACCAAGCCTTGCCATCGCTTTCATGCCTAAGGTGGAAGCTCCAGTTCTCGGTCACCGACCCTTACTCTACTGTCGAAACATAGACGACTGCTTCATCGTCTGCTCCACACAACAACAGATGAGTGAGTGATTTGAACTGTTAAGCCGACAGTCAGAGTATCCAAAATTTACACGAGAAAAACCAACCGAAAACTGGCTTCCATTATTAAATATCCAAATAAAGCTCTCAGAAAGTGACTATATAACAAAATGATATCGTAAGCCAATTAGTAAAAAACATTCCAGTTCACTACCTCTCCTCTCATCCTTAACATATGAAAAAAGCACTTATCAAAAACATGTACCGTACGGCTAAAAATGTATGCACAGGAAAAGAGAAAATGAAGGAATCGCTAAACCTGGCACGAAAAATAACCACTTCCATTGGCTACGAAGTAGAAGCCACTCGCGTTAGAGAAAAACGTAGGGTAGTTGTCCCAAAGGTAATGTTTCGGACGTAAGATCCTTTTTAAGCTACCCTTCATATCAAATGAAATAAGTCACTTCATTAAGAGATGCTTAGGAAAAAGTGGCTTTGAAAATTATGTAATGATTATTGCATTCCACCCAATACTCTACGCCGTCAGTTAGTTTGCAGCCGTCTGTACGATCGTTTGTGCACCTCAGAAAACTGTATGATCTGTCCTAACGGGAGAGACGGGGATTGCATGAGTTTAGGTATGATATACTCGATCTCATGCAATGCATGCGGCGAGGAATATGTCAGGGAAACGGGTAGACCATTTTGTGTCCGCATAAAAGAACATCTGGATGGAAAAGCTAAAATCCGTCAAAACACCCTCTAGGTAGGCAGGCATAGGGCACAAAAGCACAACGGCGATGATTTTGAAGTGACTGTGCGGATCCTAGCGCAGGAATCGAAAACAACAACGCTCAAACAAATGCCTCACTATCACATGTGACCTGGCGCCCTGTTTCAAAATGATATTTTGACCCCGTGGTGTGTCTTGATCGCGACACTACGTGAACAACGCGTGGGGCAGTCCCAGTTGTAACATCATTGATTTCGAACCGAGAAAGATGAAAAGCCATTTAATTAATAGTGGCAGACACGAAAGTTAGGCGCAATAATTACTCTTGCATACCCACTATCTATACGCTCTTCTTACAAAACACAAGATGTTACATCTGGAAAGTTCGATAGAAACCTGTAAAAGTGGGCCAACGTACTCGATGTACATGTAAGCCAATCTCGGTCATTGCTAGAATTAACTACTGGTGCACAAGTTATAGTCGAACCAACGTGAGAGCTTGAATGAACCGCCCTCATGAATGGTGCGGATAATTGTTGCACGACAGCAAAATAAGTGGAAGAATGGCTGAAGCACAGACGACATATGAAAAGAGCTCTCTAAGTAAGTATTACACAAAAGAAAACTCAAAAAGGTAATGTTTAACTTTTTATTTAGCAT